AACAGTCTCGGGACCAATGCAGAAGCTACTTGGGCAGTACTGCTGAGCGCAGGTGTTAGCAGTGACAAAACAGAGTACACCTGGCAGAGACGGTCTTGTCTTTACATTTGCTTGTTCTCTAACTCTCAATAAACTAAACTATCTTCAGCAAATTGGAGGACTAAATAATAGAAGTTTATGTAGGAATCACAAAATCTTAGCACTTCATGAAAATACGAAAACCAGAATGGGAACCCAGATTAAACCTCCGTCCCAAAATAACATAAAATTACGACTGCTCAAAGCAATGAAAACACTGCGGCCAGTTGCAAAAAACCTGAAATTTTGTGTACTTATTAAAATGACAAATAAAAGCATTTTCTGAACATTTTTAGCTTGGAAGTTTGAATTTTCAAAATTTAGCCCTATACAACTACAGTTTTTCTTTTCCTAACAACTACTGCCAATCTTTTTTTTTTTCCTTCCCAAAGCCCCCCAGTACAAAGTTGTATATTCTAGTTGTGACTGCCCCTGGTTGTGCCATGTGGGATGCCGCCTCAGCATGGCCGGATGAGCAGTGCCATGTCCGTGCCCAGGATCCGAACCGGTGAAATCATGGGCCACCAAAGCAGAGTGTGCCAACTTAACCACTTGGCCACGGGGCTGGCCCCACAACCAGATTTTTGTTCTGGACATTTTTTTTTTTTGAGAAGATTAGCCCAGAGCTAACACCTGCTGCCAATCCTCTTCTTTTTGCTGAGGAAGACTAGCCCTGAGCTAACATCTGTGCCTATCTTCCTCTACTTTATATGTGGAACGCCTAACACAGCACGGCGTGCCAAGCAGTGCCAGGTCTGCACCCGGGATCCAAAATGGGGAACCCCAGGCCGCTGAAGTGGAACGTGCACACTTAACTGCTGAGCCACTGGGTCGGCCCTGGACATTTTGGTATTTCAAGAAAGTTACATTCATCATGTATGCGATGATATTTAACTTCTGGCTCCTAGGCAGCTGATTTGTCCTTTGTTATTAATATGGGTGGCAAATACAAGGTCACCCTTAGCCCAATCCTAGTTGAGAAATTCAAAAGAAGAGTCAGAAACAAGTTACTTCCCAGTAAACAAATCCCCAGTGAATTCAGCAACTCTAGTCAGTCAGCTCAGCATTTGTGGGTACTCTGCGCATGCACACGCGTGCACAGCAAAAATATCACTACATCAAACAGAACAAATTTTTTCCCTGCCTTCTCTTTTTTAATCTTCCCATTTTACTCATGATTTCCATACAATTAGTGACTATTATCTTTTCTCAGAGATTTAGTCATGTACTTCCCTATGAACCCTGCTCTCCTTCTGTCCTAAACCCCTTATTTCCATGACTTACCAGATCATGACGTTATCTCAGAAAACCGAGAAACCTAAAAGTATGTCTGCCTGTGTGCAGCTCAGGGGGAAAATCTAAAAACTATACTTAAAATTCTCAGGACTTTAAAATGTGGAATAATTTTAAAGAAAAGAGAAGTTTATTATAACAAATTATAATTTGTTAACTTATGAGGGTTAACTCTGTGTCACTCATCTAAGTAGTTTCCATAATTCTTTCACTTAAAGAATTACCCTAACAGCTCATCATATGGATGATCATATTGCTCAAAGAGGTGAAACCACGCTCAATATCACATAGCTAAATAATAATAAATCATACACGATAAGACAAGCTACCCAAAATGTAAACCTCAAAAAAAAAATCCCTCAAAATATTAAGAAAAGAGAAACCAACTTAAATTTTAATGGCCAATATTTAACAATAAAATGTTAAATAGCAGGGACATATATAAGTGATTGGCAGTTTCCCTTTCATACTTTGGGGGATAAGAAGCTTGCAGCAAAAGTGAGCCCCGACTATGTATGAGCCTTAGGGCCCGACTATTTTTCCTACTCTATCTTGACTACTTCCTGTAATTTATCATTTTAATGTCCCTGTGCTTATCACAAAGCTTATAACTAAAATTCTTTGATGCTCAGAAGTCTTTGGATGAGTACAATTGAGGAGAGCAGTGAAGAAAAAACAAGCAGATATTTCTAGTTTCTCAGTTAATAACCATCATGCCACCACTTTTAACTTGGCCTCATCACAAAGGATTATATAATCAGATTCAAGCAATACTGCAAACAACTATATTTTTAAAACTCAGGTCTTTGATTTTAGATACAGTGACATCTGAAGATAAAAAAAAGATTTACTATACTCTTGCAAAAGTAATACAATTTATGCAATAGCACTGTTGCTTACATGAAAACGCCTGACAAAAAGTTGTCAAGACTAAACTTCCCTGCCCAGCTGACCATGATAATCAAATCTTTTTTGGATTCAGAATACGAACAAGTAATGGAAGTTCTGCAAGAAAGAGTCAAAGAAACAATGTGTTACACAGCACTTAAAGCATACATATAGGAATCAAACATTTCCACACTTGAAGTAGGAATCATTAAAAAAGATTTCACAGAAGACCTAGAGAAAAAGAAAAACTCAGGTTGCTACCCCTTCCCAACCTGAAGTTTTAAATTATAGAATTTTTTTGGAGAACTGTAAATGAGATACTATTTACAGATTGTTGGTGGATGATTTAAAAATAAACAAAACCAATTTATTTTATTTAAAATAAAATCAGTTACAGCAATCACTGCATCTGATAAATACTAACATTTCTATTTGCTATTCTTTACCAGGCAGCCAAGACAAAAAAGAAATCATTATTGTTTGAGAACTGAAGTATTTTTCTACTTATAAGTACAAAACAGTATAGCCAATTTAAAGATTTGATATAGAATAAGACAATAAAAATTCTGCTGTCAAATAATAGATAAATTTGAAGAGTTGAAATATACTAGCAATGTTACTATATTTGACCAGGTTATAAACATCAGTTATTACCCTGAGGTCTTGATACTGAACAGGAACTTTCAGATGTTTCAATATAAAAAACATCTTTAAGTACTAAGCCCAGGAATAAAACCTGGGATTCTGCCAAGACTATTCCTCCTGCAACACAATGGCAAAGCTTTTGTGTGACACAGCAGCAGACCCAACTTTCTTGCCAATATCGTATTCCTTTATCTTTTGTGGAATTGAATAAAACCAGCCTGCTCTTGGAAAGTCTACTAATTTTTAAGAAATAAACCAAAGGGAAAAGAGTGGCAAACCAATTCAAGTAAAACTTTGCTTCTTTGTGGTTCTATAATTTAAAAATAAAATTAGTAATTGATGAGAGTGATCGCTGAAAAGATGGAAATGACTAGATTGACCTCCGTGTGGTTAGAGTTATATTTAATGAACTTGGTCCTCTCAACATACCTCTGCCTCCCATCCCCGCCCCCGTCAATGCTCCTCTTCTGCAAATGAGAGCTTTCTATTGTGGAGGCCACCAAGTCTAAAGAATATAATAGCTTTCTTGATTTTGCTATAATTTTTATAACTCCTATCAAGTTCAAGATTTGGGCTACACTTAAATTGGAAAAACTAAGAAATGTCAGTCTTTTAAAGTTCACCAACGTCTAGGTTCATGTGAAACACTTTTTAATGTTTAAGGACAATTCATTCTGTAAATTTGTATCTACTATTTGAAGTCTTTAACTTAATACAAACATTATACATGTATTGTTAAGAAAGATCAGTAATGGGCACAAAAGCATGAAACATATTTTGCGTTCTTGTCAAAGAAAAGAAATCTCCCTTCTCACCTATCAAATAATGCTAACATTGATTCTGTAGCCTTCCTAATTACAGGTACTTCTTGAAAAGAACAAGAACATCAAAAACAATCTTATTCCAAAATATATCATTTGTAGAGATAAGAAATAAAGCTCGAATATTAATTTTGAATTTATATTACACTAATTTTACTCATCAGACATAAATCACTAAATGAATTAAATGGAGCCACTTACACAATCAGGTGAAACTGAATAAGCAAAAGAAAATTGTTCATAAATGGGCAATATGCTAATTAGTCTTCTGTTCTGCTTTAATCAATTTAAAAGAATCATTAGCTAAATCAACCATGTAAACTCTATAATTTCACAGTATTTGAGATACGTAAAAAACTTCTGTTTATCTAAGATATTTTAAGTTTCCTATAATCAGTTGGATAAACCGGTTTTTCCAGATCCCACAAAAACAAACTGTAACCCATATTCTGTTCAATTATTGCAAACATTGAATTAGTGAGGTTTAATTTAATAAGATTTTACTATATTTGCAGTATTAACTAAGTTGGATATGGAATTATTACCTAAGAGGCTGACTTTAATTTTAAAATGCTATCTTAACCATTTGTGGTATGTTATCTTCAAAATCCTTTATATTTCAATTTTCTATATGGATATTTAATAGAACACAACACTGACTTTGCAGTTGGATTATATGACTATCCTTTATCCAAACTGTACAGAACTAGTCATCGGGTCAAATAATTAAGAGATTGTATAATATGAGGTAGCATCCACAGAAATCCTTTATAGAGGACAGCACATGAATTCCTTAAACTATGTCAAAATTCTCACTAAGCTGAATTCTGACAATCTGTCAAATTTAGAAACAATGAATTTCAGTTAAAAATACTTATTTTAAATACATTCCCCTTAAGAGCTTTTATTTAAAAAAAAAAAACCTCCTGCCCACAAATACAGTTAATGCTTCTCACTAACCCCCATTCCCTTCCCAGTATTCTCATTTTTATCATATTTTCCCCCCATTGAAGTGAGTACATTGTATTTTGGTTTCTTTTCTTCCGATTCATTGTTCAGACCAGCATTTTAATAATCTTTTAAGCAACGCTGTTCAAAGAAAACAGCCTATAGAAAGCTAAAGAAAATCCCCTAAGTTCAATGTTTTTCAAAGTGAGATCATTCTTCTAGACCTATTTGTTAAAAATCCATGCAGAGCAAACACCACAACTGGTAAACAGCTACGGAAAATTGGAAGCTTCCAAATAAAGCCGTTAAAAGCACTTCATTACACACCTTCTCTGAGAAGCCCTTTGTTTCCACTGAAAACCATACTGGAATCCTTGTGTAAAAGAAGTTGCCTCCTGGCTGTCAATAGCTATATAGTCAGTAAGTGAGGGATCCAGATGCCTGCAGTGGTTAAAACAAACGTTCAGCGGTGGGTGCTGATTCCTCTTCCCTCTGTGTGAGGCTTTCACAAAGGCAGCAGAGTAAGAGCGCACATAGCAACAGCACTCACAGCTGATTGGACGGAGGGTGAGCCCGGCCGCCCCTGCTCGCTGGGTCCACTACAGCTTCCTGTCTACTTGGCAGCACTATCATGTTGTCTTTGCTCCTCTTACCAAGTCAGCTGTGTTTAGTCCACTTGAAAGGAAAGACCAGTCGAACGATAATGACAAAGTATTCTAGCGTGAGCTCCTAAAATGTTGTCTGTGGGGCTTTTACAGAAAGAGAGAAATTCCTAAGGCCGACATTTATCTCAGTCAGCGTTTCACAGAAAACTGAGGACAAAGAGCGGTGGTGGAGGGAATCAATTTATTACTTCGCGTTTCAAGTAAATCAGGTTCTACCAAGTGAAACACTCTGAAAACAAAGAAATACAAAAATTTACAACAATTCGAACAAAGCATCAACCTCCATCTACCTCGAACTACAAAGAACTTCAGAACAAACTTCACAAATTCCTAGAAAAGCACAACCAGTTCGATAGTTAAAATGGGATCGGGCCTAAAACAGTGCGCCCTCAAATTTAAGCAGCGTCTTTTAAGAGGGCAAGAAAAACAGGTTAACGGATTGATCAGAAAAAGATTTAAAGAGGAAAAATCAGTTACTTAGTAAACTCTAACAAAAAGAAAAGATTTAACTAGGTATTTGCATTAAAATGTCTCTTCTTACATGAAACAACAAAGACATTAAGCCTGAATTCATTTATTTTCTTTCTCATAAAATTATCTGGAGATACGAAGGCAAAGGAGGTTTTTTTTCAGGTTTCGAAAACTGGGCTTCAATGTACCAGTCTCCACCATCTCCACCAGCTTTAAGAACCATGACGAAAATCCCTCCCCAACTTACAAAGACGTTTGGGGGAGTCAATGCAGGTAGTAGGAACAGATATGAAGAATCAGATATGACAGAAAAATTCCTCATTTAGGCAATACTTCCCTCAGACATCCTATAAACTAGGATAGCATTTTGCCAACTTTTAAAGCCATGGAAACTTTTTATTTGCATTCTTCCAATAAAATGTAGGATTAGCGGTGGCTTTGGGATTTCGATACAGGAGAGGTTTGTGGGAGTAGGCAGAGGCTACAGCAGAAGCATGCTGTTTATTACTCTGATCTTTATCTGGAGTGTCTTGAGGGTAGGGAGAAAAGGCTGATGGAAATGTTGGTACTATTAAAGCAGAGGTCACAAACAACACTGTAGTTTCACAGCAGCTCCAGAATCCACAAGAGCCCTACTGCTGAAAAAGAGCTTCTAGGATCCCTGGAGTCCTACAGTATACGAGTAGGAGTACACAATGCACAACCTGTAGGAGTTCAATCTCACTATTACCTGAGTGTAAAGAAACAACCTGATCACTGGCTCCACAATCAGCCAGAGGGAGAGCTGCCAAGCCCTCTGGGAAATATTAAGAGGGAAGGTGAGTTTGGGAACACAGTCAGTGCTCAGAGAAGGAATGGCATTGGAGAGGGAACAAGGATTTTGGAGTCAGGCTGACCAACCTGGGTTCAAAACATGAGTCGGCCATTGACGAACACTAAGACCCTATACAAAATCACTCTCCTCTGTAAAACGAAGTTAACCCACAGGGCTATCGTGAAGGCACAGGGTGCTCTCTGCCAGCCAGACTGGGCTTTTGGCTGCTAACGACCCTTAAGTTCTTCAAGATTTGGGGTCTTTGCACAAGGCTTTCAGTTGCTAAGTCTCAGCTTAAATTTCTCTTCCCCAGGACAGCTTTCCCTGATCCAAGCCTGCTCTTAGAGTCCCTGTACTTTTTTCTTAGTACTTAGTTCACAGACTATTAAATAATTATTTGTAAAATGACTGGTTTAATGACATTCTCCTCACCACACTGTAAGTACTTTAAAGGAAGGGACTGTTTCTGTCTACATTATTGCTCACCTAGCATCATGTCTGGTTTATACCCCACACATTATTTGATTTGATTTCATAACCATGGGAGGTAAATAGAACAAGTAGCATTATCTACATTGTTCAAATAAGAAAATCAGCTCCAAAAGTTTATTTACTCAAGTCATACAATGAGAAGTCAAAGGAAATACATCTTAAAAAACTTTTAAATAATTTTATAATTCAAAAATAATCTCTTTCCTATATCTTTCAAAAAAGGACTGATATATAATCCCTAGATTGTTTCAGAATATTTCCTTTCAGTTATAATTCTTAAACTTTTGAATTTTTTTTTTTGAGGAAGATTAGCCCTGAGCTAACTGCTGCCAATCCTCTTCTTTTTGCTTAGGAAGACTGGCCCTGAACTAACATCCATGCCCGTCTTCCTTTACTTTATACATGGGATGCTTACCACAGCATGGCATGCCAAGCCATGCCATGTCCACACCTGGGATCCAAACTGGTGAACCCCAGGCCGCCAAAGTGGAACGTGTGCACTTAACCCCTGCACCACCGGGCTGGCCCCAAATTCTTGAACTTTTTAATTAAAGGCTAATGACAGCCTATATCTATAATCTAAAACTATTGATTAACATCATATACAAAGAGAAGTTATGGAAAAAAATACTAAATTTAGTCAGAAACATGTAGTTACAAATTAATAAAACACTCCAACAAACATGCCACCTTAAAAAGTAAAATCCAACCAACAGATTTATTTAGTGAAATGCTTTTTCTGTACTGCCAGTTTTCCAATAAATTTCAAAAGGGCACTTTATATAATTTTGAAGAATGCTTGCTTTTCCCTGGTTTGGTCATGTTGGTACACAAAGCTACAAATGGGTGTGCTATAATATAACGGCATATTATCTACTTTGTAAGATCTTAAACGTCTACAAGTTAAGAATCTGAATAATAGGAAATTCTATAAGTGCTAGTCCTAGGTTCTCAATTCTCAACCCCCAGCCATGAACAATCCCCTTTTTTTCCGTACTCTACCTAGCATGGTCATAATCGTACTCTCCAAATGGACCTGTTCAAGAAATATAAATTACTTATATTATCCTAATGTAAGGAAATAAATAAGAAAGCAGATATTCCATAAGAGGTTTTTAAAAACTACATATTCCAAATATAAAATGGAAAAATTTCAAGTGTCAACTGTTTCAGCTCATCTATGCCCTGTTTTAGCAGGAACAGTGGGGAACCATCTACTGAGAGCAAGATACTTTAGAGACGATCATGCTAGCTTGGACACTTTCTAAACAAAAAGAAATATTACTAGTAGAAAAACAAGAACTCGTCAAAGGTAATGATGAAATAGCTACTATATATGTAGGCCCATGGGCCCGACACGGTGCTTAATCTCTTTACATGACATCTCCTCTGACTCTGAGGTAGTTACTATCCCCACGGATGAGGAAACTGGCTTGTTACCAGCCCAAGTAATCAGAACTGAGTGGGGCAAAGCCAGGATTCAAATTTAGGTCTTCCTCAATCTACCATGCATACTCTTAACTACCGCTATCCTTCCCTTAACAATTTCTTTCTTATATACATTTCCATAAGGCAAATAGGGCATTAAACAAAAATAAAGTTTAAATACAGAAATCTCAAGTTAACATTTTTCCCTCTATTACTCATTCGATAACCACCACTACAGCCCCCTTACACCTCAAAACTGTCATTGATACACTACTTATAACACAGGAAAACAGGATTTTACTGCTAAAGAGGGAGCCAGGCTGTAGCTGTAGTGTGATCACTACATGAGGGCACAATGGAAGAGTCAATCTTCACTACTTCATGATCACAGATCACACACATAATCCCGAGAAAGTAAAGGAAGTAGAAAAGAACACTGAACCAGGAACCATGGTTCTGGGTTCTACTCTGAACTCTACCTCTAATCAGCTTTGTGATCTTAGGCACTTCTCTGAAATTGCTCATTTCTAAGTCAGGAATCATTCTTCTTTTTTTTTTTTTTCTTTTTGCCTGCAATGTTGGTGTACTGTAAGGAACAAATAGGATAGGATAAAATTGTTTTGAAAACAGCAACATGCTGCACAAATAGGATATCACCATTCCCGGTGGTCTTCTAGCGGGTAGCAGGGTCAACATGTTTGCACAAAATCCAACCTCATTACTGGAAAGATCCCTTAAAGCAGCAGGACATGATGGAAAAGAGACAGGTAGAGGTTCAAGTTCTTTCCACTTAACGAGCTGTGCTATCAAATTATTTAACGTCTGAGTCTGTTTCTTCATCTGTAGAGTGGGAATAACAATTGCTCTAAGAGTTATAAATCACCTAGCCCAGTACTTGGCTCTCAAGGAATTTGTTTCCTCTTTTCCTTTACAAACTTTGGGTCTACAGGATTTTAATAAAGCATGTGCACGCGCCCACACACACACACCCAACAATAAAAGGCAATACATTGGGAGTATCCCATATCAATAACAATGGGGATGAAATTTAAATCTTGACTACTAAAGATTTTTATGACTGATATTTTTAAAGTTTCTTAAATAATGTCACATTTAATAACACATTTTACAGCTCAATAACTTATTTGTAAGAAAGACTAAACAACAACTAAAATTTAACATTGTTAAGAATTTTGGAAAACAGGGAAATTTATGGCTTTTCTCATTAAATCAGAGCTTTTATTCAAAAACAAAATATTATGATGTTAGGTCAGCACTGGGACAAATTAGGCCATAGTAAATTACATTAATTTCCACTTGCACGGAGATTCCTAGCAATCATTATTGCTGAAATGATTACCCAGTGATTTTTATTCATTATAACATGGTACAAATCAGCCAAGCAGCCAAACAGCAATCCAAAACCCATGTGTTTTCAAGAGCTAAAACACTTCTTAAAACTAAAATATTAAAAAGTACCTAAGAGACCTAATGGAGGTTGTCATCTTTCCAAAGATTTTTGGGTTATGATGACCTAGATTGGTTCCAGGAGCACAGCCTTGTTTACCAAATCTCAGATCTTAGAGAGAAGAAAATGTTCTAGCCTGTTTTTTGGCATCATTCATACTACATTGTTTAAAATGAGCTAGAACAGGGGTTATTTATAATCTAAGCTACCGGACAAACACGTTATCTAATAATATCTTGTACTCGCACTACTCAGATTTAATAAGTATCAAGATCAGGCATAAGAAAAAAAGAATTCATTTTTAATATCCTACAATATGTAGTCTTTATAAATTAATAGCACCATTATTACATAAAACGTGTGCCAAGACGCCCATGGATTCCCCTTTACCTATACCCATACTTCTTTAAAGACATGTTCTGGGATGTTAATCTGTTAATTTCCTTTACATTATAAAGAATGCTATGTTCAATTCAGTCTTAAAATTCTAGAACCAACCATGAATTTTTTATTCTGATAAAATGATGTTTTACTCAATGTATTTCCATGGAGATAATGTATTTACATTTACTTGTCCCTTTGACAGTCGCAACTTTTGTGAAATGAGTACTTTGTACATGAAGAAACTGAATCATAGAGATTAAGGCAGCTGGTGGGTTACCTAGTTGAATCACATAAGCCAGGCTTAATTCCAAGTCCTGTTTTCTTCCCCTTACAACAACCTATCACTGGTAGATATCATGACCTCTACTAATTATGCCAATAGTCATACAAATGACAGATTCTGTATTTTAAATTTTGGAGAATGTTAGCAGAAATCTGGTAAAGGGAAGCAACTGTACAGAATTAAGTAAACCTCATGCAGCTTTCAGAAAGACTCACTCACTATGTCCTCAAAGCTTTAATACTCTGCTTGCATTTTAAAAACGTTTGCTAATTTCACACTGTTTCATATAGTCGTTTCCAAACGATATGACTAACCTCTTCTGGATACCTATATCACTTCAAACTCTAGTGTATCTAAAGCTGAATTAATTTTCCTCTGAATAAGATTTACCATTATTATCACTGGCATCCTCCCAATTCCCTACGCTAACAAACTTTGGAGAGAATAAAAATAGGTATTGATTATGTGTTTATTAAATGCCTTGCACAACCCCTTTACTCAGATTATGTCACTATAACAAACCTATAAAATGAATGCCACGATTATTATTGCAATTTTAACCAATGAGGAAACTGAAGCTCAGAGAAATTAGGTAATTTGAGCAAGTTTATGTAGAGCAGGTGACAAAACCAGAATTTGAACCCAGGTCCTTCTAGTTCTTTGAAATGCTAAAACAATCTATAGGACTAAATGTGCCGCAAAATTAATTTAAGGGGTTGGAACTATCATTTTCTTTTTAAATAAAATAGGAAAAACACTATCAGCTGCCCTTGCGTGAGCAAGATTGAGTAATGACTTTTGCTTGGGGGGGGAGTTTTATGGGGCAGCAATATCAATTGTGTAATTGTGGGCCATCAAAAAAATGTTAACGCCACTGGTCCATGTGATGCTCTCAATTACCACCACCCCCCTGCACTGTCCCCAGTAGGTATTTGGTTCTACCATATCACATTCAACCAACATGTACTTTGGAAGCACGTATAAAGGGCTGATACCACATTTTATTTTACTAAATAGAGTTTGAGAAAGAAGTAGTGGCTAGAGACTTACAGCCAAAATTCACATATCTCACAGACTGCCACAACTCAGTTCTACAAACCCTTCTTTACTAGAGATGACACTACATCACTAGGGACAGAGATATTTAGTGACCCCTAAGGATTCAGAATATAAAAATACTGGAACTACTGAACATACCTTTCTGCATAGAGAGAGCCAGGAGTTTTCTTATTCCTCACACAAATGCTACAGTCATCCTATCAGAGATCAAAGCTCTCCATTTCCAACACAATTTCAGTTTATACAATTACAATCATGCGCCACCTAACGACGTTTCAGTCAACGACGGACCACATGTATGAAAGTCGTCCCTTATATAAGATTAGTACCACAAGGCCTAGGTGTGTGGTAGGCTATACCATCCAGGTTTGTGTAAGTACACTCTTTGATGTTCACACAAGGACAAAATTGCCTAACAACACATTTCTCAGAAGTATCCCCATCATTATGCAACACATGACTGTATTTCACCCAGCAA